CTACGCAGACTGAGATTTGTCCAGATTCTCTAAATCTTTTTACTATAAGTTGCATAGTAGATGGTGAAAGACCTAATTCTTTTCAAACTCTCACAAAGTTTGGCACAAAGTGGTGAGGCACGACCCGTCACTTGCGAAGACTGAGCCTTTTAAGGATGCTCCTTTTATGTCTAATCATGATACTCTCACCTGTTACCAATTCAGAATGTCTTAAAATGGTATAACTTGAATATTCTATAAACTTTTGACTCTCATTTTGCCTCTGGCCCAACTTTTTTGAGTGCGTTGTGAAAACATTGTGAAAACAAGTAAAAACATTGCAAATCTTTGTACTTTTGTCAATTAAATAAAGGCTCAAGAGAATTAAAAAAATCACAGATTCTTGTTTTTATTGCATTGCAAGAGTGTCTTTTTTCATGACACAGCAGGCATGATGCAGAGTGCTATAACAGTTACCATTTGACTGCATATCAGACAGGTTGGCTATGTATTTCAGAACAACAGCATGATAAATATATATTTTTCAATCCATTCTTTATTGATTCTAGGCATAAATGTATGTCAACGTAAGGTAACAAACTAGCCACAAGCTAACATGCCAGTCACGATACAATACAATACATTATTCCCGTAATGCTTTGATTTGATCATATTCATCATGAGGTGAGGAAAGTGCTTTAAGACATTATGAGTTGAATGCAGCTTGCAGACTGGCACTGATTCGGCAGGCCTCCTCTCTATGGCCTCTAAAAAAATAAACAGTTCCTGATGAAAGCAGAGCCCTGAAAAACATGACCCCACCCTGCGTGTGAACTCTTCCCAAGTGGAGATATATTTTAATACTTGCTTACCCTCAAACCCACATATATAAAGAACTACACAGCAATAAGGCAAACAACCACAATCCACACAAAACAGTTTCTTTTAATGTTACTAGTTCTCACATTAAATCTCACATTATATCATCCAGCCAAACAAATCAGGATCTCACACAATAAACAACAAAAACAAAACAACATTAAAAAAGTACAGCGAGTACTACAGATGAAATGTTGTGTTCCAAAGATGTCACCATGGCTGGGATAGTATTATGCAGTTACATAAAACGTAATGTAAAAAAACCTTGACATCCAAGTTTCTGCTTCTCTAGCCCACCACTAGTGAAGTCCCTAATAAATACCAATTATACAAGAAACACCAAAACTGGTTTCAGACATAAGTGCCTGATTAGTGTAGAGGAGGGGGGAGCAAAGCTTTGGGCACGTACGGAGGAAGTAGGCTTTTGAGGTCAAAGGGGAATTTAGGTGCATGCATGCTGTGCTAACTTGAACTGGACTAATAAAGCCCTTATAGGAAAGTCTGTTCACTAAGCAGCAATCTTAGCAATGCCCTTAGGCAGTTACTTCCAGTCATACAATACCAAGCTCCTATTTTCTTGAACAGGGAGAGTCCTATAAAGCCCAAACTGATAGCTAGGCTAATGTTTCAACTATATTTGAAGTCACTGGTGGTGTTTGGTTTAAATGACAATGTTTAGGATGTTCTAGCTACAATGCGTGCATGTATTTCGACAGCATGCCGGGCTTTTTCCCACACTTCACCAAGAAGGCAATTGGCTATTTTTGTTCAAGGATGGGACTTGCCTTAATAGAGCCGCAACACTAAACATTACAAGCTATTCTATTCATATTTCAGCCAATGAACTGTGCCCCCGTCCTTTATAAAGGCTATTAATTACTAACATTTGCTATTTAATAGTAATAACGTAAAAACGCGTTAATGCTAGCTAGCCATCTAATGTTAGCTAAAAAACTAGAGCAGCTCCTTAACTCACTAGATTAACATTGGCAGGACAATACACTTCGCTGCTAAACATGAAACTACTCTGCATTATACAGTGTAAAAAATCCAGCTTTTAAACTTAAAAAATGTAAGTAACTGGGTTAGCTTGAAATGTTGAGTTCATTGAACTTAAAAGCCTGTTTGGAGTGAAAACCTGTAGCCACAATGGCCCTTTGCAGATGAGATTGGACACCCCTGATGTAAGTTAACAAATGTAAGTTAACTTACTTTTTGAAGTGTAAACCCGGATTTTTACAGTGACAGGCGCCTTGCTTACGCAAAATATGGATTCATATTTTGCAGCAGGGTCTCAGGTCAGCTTAAATGGATCGCTATCACCGCAAATACAGCTCACCAAGTGACATCAATATGACATCATTAGTCAGCAATGCTCTGAATAGGAGCTTCGATATGAACCGGCTCTTTCCAGCCAAAACCCAACAACCTGTTGGGAAAATAACAATCAGGCAACTATAGCTAACACGGGTTGGTAGCCACTACATGTTGCTCAATCACCTATGTAATATGGAAAAAAGTTCTGTGAATATGACAGTAATTTCAATGTTACTAGTAATGTTGCATAATCTGCTTCACCTAGGTGGACCATGGCCTACTATGAGCTGTCTGCTATAAATGACAACCATAAGAGAATAAACAATGTGTTAGCAGGGTAATTCAAAAACAGTGGGTCACTATGAGCTAACATGCAACATCCAAGCAACACTCACCATCAGCTAACAGAAGCAACACTGCAACTGTGTCTCACTTTACCTGCTGACCCACAGTCTGAGTGATGTCTTGAGCTTATCTGGCAAATACAGCTATCACTCTGAACACGAATGGTCAAGAACCTGACACACCTCCACAGTGTTCTGGGTAAACGTTGCCTATTTAGACAGACCCCTAGCCGCTTTCATTACCCTACATATTGCACAAATCCTGAAAATGACAATTATTATAAGTGGCCACACATCAGCATAAACAGATCTCTAACATCACACCCTTCCAGCTCATCAACACGCAGTACTATTCACCATCACTCTGGGTAGAAACTGCCCTTTGACAAAGACCAGCTCTTTGTAGACTAAAGCTATCAAGTGACCAATTGGCTACATGGGAAATAACCATCAAGCACTTGGGTGCACCACAGACATGTCTGTAATACAGCTAAACATGGGTTACTGCATGTTGCTCATCCTGCCGTGTAATTTTTATGTCAGCCTGAAGGTGATGAGAATGTCAATGTAATCAATACGATAGCACAACGGTTTCAAAAAGACGTACAATGATCTTCTGTGTGCATTGTTTGTTCTAAACCAGGAACGTGCAAAGAAACGTTTCACTATGTTAAAGGGCCTTGGTCTTCGGTCCAGGTAGACACCGTATAATGGAGGCTAGCCTGAAGCTAATCTCTCCATTATTCTTCTTCTCTGTGAAGATGACTGTGACACAGATAGGCTGAAATCAGTGGAGCGCGCGCGGGGAGCTAAATGGGTCACCCGCGCGCAGTAAACAATCAGTAAGGCGGGAAAAGGAGATGAGTTTAGTGCTGTTAGCATGCTGCTAACCACCCGGACCCTCAAACAAGCATAACAAACAAACTGACAGTCACGTACGGACGACAGTTCAATACACAAAAGGGGTTCTGTGTGGGAACACGATAATGAAACGGTAGCTATAAAAGGTAGGTTGTCGTTAGCTTGTCAAATCAAGGTCACGAGAATCGTGGCGAATCTGCTGAGAAGATTGTGTTCAGTCGCGTTATAGACGTATGTGAGGCAAACTCGTGGTGGATTTATATTTTGAGTATTGTCTGCTCGTCCTGAAGGATACCATACCAGCATACACCATACACACGCACAGAGAGAGAGAGAGAGAGAGAGAGCTGTCAGCAAGTCGAAACGAGGCGTTGGAAATCTCTTTATATTAAAACTAGGTTGGTGAACGGCTGCCAGTTTTAAAAGAACTGTCACTCGCACATGAACGACACGCCATGACCGTCTTTCCTTCTGATATACAAATTAAGCTTATCATTTCATCATTAGGCGAAGAGCTGTGAGGCAGCGACCTGGCCGCGCACAAACACACACACTCGCTCCGGTTTGTATTCCTGTCTTTGTGGGCTCTGTCCATTGACTTCTGTATCAATGTAGCTACATGCAGCTGTTCCTACTCCTGACCCAACCTCAGCCTTAGCACACAGGAACCAAAAGGACATCTTCTGTCTCTTTTAAGCCAAAATATACAATGAGTTAACATTTTGCCTCGTAAGGACAAGCCAGCTCGCATAACATTTTCATGTTTTCCTCGCGTCCTGGGGACCACTGGCGTTACAAGGATCCCCTATACAAAACATTAAATGAATGAATAACAATGACAAATGACATAACAATTGCAATTTGTTTGCCTACTATTAAGTCTCAAATAAGTTGATGCTCTCAAAGCACACCACTCCACCCACCAGCCTCTATTGTTAAGGTAAATGTTTGTAAGGTTTTTAAATCATCAATAATTAACATACGATGTTGCAGGTTGTGAAGGATCCGCGAGTAAAACTCTTACGCTACCATGGAGGAGATGCATTATGAGTAAGAGGGTGATTAATAAACGTCAGTGCTGTCTGTTGATGGAAGCTCACTGGTGAGGTATGTTGTTAAGAACTTGGGTCTTTCTGCGAATCGTGGGTGTACAGTTGAGTCAGTATCTATACAAGGACCCCAATAAAGATTTTAGGGGGCCCGCGGCACCATGGGCCCAGGTGAGATTGCCCCTCCTGCCCCAAGTACGCCACTGCTGGGGACATTTGGTATCTTGTCCCCGTTAAGAGGTAAATACAAGACATCACACACACACACACACACACACACACACACACACACACACATTGAGCGACGCCCATTAAAACACCGCGCACGACACACGGCGAAGCATCCTGTGTCAAACGGCTCTCACAAACCGAATCACACCGCGCAGTCCGGCCCTTCTGCTGTCGAAGAGTTTGCCTCATACTCGTCGATGTGGAAGCACGCTGGACTCCAAACCCACAGCAGCGGGCTGCGACCGGCCGCTCAAACAGGCAGCAGTTATTGATTTATTTGAAGATTTTAAAGGAGCAGGACCCATAACGTCATCCCCGTTTTCCCCAAAGATGGACTTACCACATCTTCAGAAGACACGGGAACGGATGCGCTCGGCGACCACGGCAAACCTGCAGGATGACCAAAAACCTCAAAACAGTCTTTTTAATCCCCCGTGACAAAGCCGCGGTCTCCGGATTGGGATTGAAACACGGTTCCCCGTCAAAAAAACGAAAACAGCCTCGGTGTCAATAAGATCTCGGCGGTTTGAGTCGGGCTTTATCCCTCACCCGTTCACCGACCGAAGAGGCAGAAACGCGAGGCGCCTTCACGCTAACGGTTTCGAATCCGGATCCCTCGCGTTCAGAAAAAAGCAGATGCGCGCGCGCGTCTCGAGCGCTGCGTCCAGCCGCGGAGCTTCAGCGCGAGGACAGCATCGTTGTGGACGGGCGCGTGGCGCAGGACGAGGGGGGCCGCGAGCTTGACAGCGCGAGAGAGCGCGAGCGAGGGGGAAAAACGACAAGCCAATTTGGACGCGCGGTGATGCTTGATTCAAAGAGGGAGGGTGGGAGAGAGAGAGAAAGAAAGAGGGAGGGGTGTGTTGAGTGGAGACAGAGATGGACTCGAGCGCCCTCGCGCGGCGGAGCTCGCGCAGCAGCGCCTCGCGTCGACCTTGCTTTCACCTGCGTTACATAACCATTCTGGACCTTATAATTATAAGTGACATTCACAAGCGGGATATAACCTCCTGTAATTGTTACAGTCTATTACTTTAGCCTGTCGTGTTTCAAGCATTCAAATAAATTTGACTCACGCGGTGTCCAGCTGAATGAATAAAACACTGAAAGGGACCAGTTATTTTTAAACGCTGATATTAATGGAAGTGACACCGACAGTCAGCACAGCAGAGTTGGTGGAGTAAGCCAAAAACCACCCTTAAGTAAAAAGTGTTGATACTTGAATGAAGTCGAGACAGAGGACAACCTGAACAGGGGTAAAACTATTTTACATTACATTACATTGCATTACATATTCTTAGTGCATCCAGCATCTATCAGCATAGGAACTTTGTTGTGAAACACTTGACCTAAAATAAAATACTAAAGTTTGAAAGGGAGAGGTTTGACCAACAGCAAAGGAGTGTAGGTGTTGCTACCAACACAACTAAATAAATTTTAAAAAAGAAATTGTGAGTTGGAAAATAAATAGTGTAAACATATCTATAAAATTATTATAATTGTATCTATAGGTGAGTAAATGTAGAGAACTAGAATAAATAACTAGAACAAAGTTAATGAATAGACTTTATATTGGCTAGCTCATTTTAAGACCATGGATACTTAAATACGAATATAAGGAGCGTCTGACATGCAGATATGAAAGATGAAGTAGTTTCAGTGTTATCAGCATGGGCATTAAAAAGACTTCCATCTTTTGGATCACCACTACCACAGTCGAACCGTTTAACAGCTGCTGAATGCTACTTGATAAAAATGTGTTTTACACTTGGTTTTAAAAACAGTCACAGATGGAGCATGCCTAATGTCACTTAGAAGGCCATTCCAAAATCTTGGTGCAGTGACAGCAAAAGCACCATCCCCTTTTTTGTTTAACACTGTGGAACAGTTAAAAGTGACTGGGACACAGACCTTAAAGATCTTGAGGGCGCATACATACATATGCAGGTGCATTACTATTCAAGGCTTTAAACACCATCAATGCCATTTTATACTGGATTCTGTAATGCACTGGGAGCCAGTGTAAAGATGCTAAAACTGGAGTAATGTGCTCTCTTTTCTTTATAGCAGTTAACATTTTGGCTGCAGCATTTTGAAATAGTTGTGGATGAGCAAGAGATGCTTCATTAATTCCAAAATACAGTGCATTACAGTAATCCAGTCTAGGTATCACAAAGGCATGAATGACCTTTTCCAGATCTGAAGCTTTAAGAAATGACTTTAATATATTATACTTAGATACGTACCTAATATAATCTACTAAGAATCAGTTTAGGCCAATGTTAACATTTTTGAAAGCAAAGATAGAGTGATAGTGGAACTGTATATCATGTTAGAAACCACTCTTATCAGTATGGAGATGTCTCATCATTGGATAAAGGTGATAAGTCAGAATAATTTTGTGTTATTTGCAGTGACCCTTCCCTCTATCATGCCAGCAAAATGCACACCACAACAGAGCCACTGGATCCCCACGATATAGAGGTTGGCTATTTAGGCCTGGTTGAAACACCACCCAGTTAAGCAGTCTTTGTGATGGAAGTTCCTGCCATCCATGCCTCAATAATGCATCATCTTTCAAAGTCACTTAGATCTTTTACTTATGCTATCCTGATGCAAAATTGAGGTCAGGTGAGCCTGCTTAGCATTTCTTTAAATGACACCAAACATAAAAGGATGGAAATAATTGTCTAATTATATCACGCAGTACACCTGTCCAGGTGTATTTACACTATTTTACATTTCTCCATTCATTTATTCACTCATTTAATTTCCTTGCAGTCACTTTATACATATGCTGTATTTTTCAATTTCTCTAACCTGAGGCAGTTCAAATGACAGCCTTAATAGTTTTACACAATTTTTACATGTTTCCCAATATGGACAATATGAGGCATTTAATAGTATAGTTGTATATATTGGTATGTGATTTGGGCCAAAAGTTGAATCGTTATACAAAATTTAGGTTGAAAATTCAAGGAGAATTAAAATCAGTGAGTTTCTAGGTGGATGGAGGCAAAGAGAAAGAGTAGCATGGTAGGTACATGAGTACTGTCAGTTACACACTTTGCTGGATCTTTCTAATAGTTCAATCTATATGCCAATGTAACGGGTTTTATTTTCTTTCATTACGTTTCCCTCAAAATCTTCATGCCTTCTCCGTTTGCATTTATTTAAATAATAGATTAAATTGGGATATATCTTTTTTTTAATTTAATATATTTTTGTGGGCGTTGCTGTGATGTCATCTGGTGCGTCACACACTCTCTTCAGTCTGGTTAGAGCACTGCTGGAGAGAGGTTGGTGTAGCTTCAGCTCTGAGCTATAAAAGGGTCATCAAATGTTTAATATAGTGTAAAAAGTTATAATACTGGTTTAATATGAAGCGAAATAGCATTAGGGATCTTTATCTGGATGTTTTATAGATAGATTTTGAATATTTCCAATGTATTAGCGAGTAAAAGAGTGAGGAGTATTAGCATGCTTTAGCTGCCTGTAATATGAGAAGCTAACCCCTCCCTCACCTTTTCTGTGATTTTCTGGGTGGCAGAGAGGCTAATGCAAGCAGACACGAGGCTGGGGGCCATTTCTCACCATTTTTCTGTCTTATACATCCAAGTATGATCTTAGTCGCTTCTGTTGTAAAAAAAAAACTTTCATTTTATTCATTTGTTCTTATGTTTTGGAGGCATTTTATATGAAAAATATACATAAAATGCTGGAAACAACAGGGATCTCAGAAAGGTATCTTTGGATAAGTTATATGGCTAGTGAGTAATATTATATAAGTTCATGTGTCCTTCTATTGTATTCCGAGCATGTAGCGAATTGATATATACACGTGTGTGTATGTACATGCTTACTATTTCCATATATAAAAACGTATGATACTAGCAACATTCATACATGTTACTTTTTTTTTTGTATAATATGGTAAATACCATACCTATTGTGAGAGTGATTATTGGTCTGGTATTTTTCTGTTTCTTTGTCTTTTTTTTAATTCTGTCTTCCTTCTTCATGTGTTATATGAGAAAAACCTGAATTGTCAGTGGACAAGATAGTAATTAATTAATCTTAATATTTTTTTTTGTTATATCAGTCTGGTTAGAGCACTGCTGGAGAGAGAGAGGCTAATGCAAGCAGACACGAGGCTGGGAGCCATTTCTCACCATTTTTCTGTCTTATACATCCAGAGCACTCTTCAAATAAATGATCCCCAGAGTTGGTACCAGCATCCAAGCCTCCTGAGTATTTTTGTTCACACAACGCAGAGTAAGAGTGGCTGTGTCTTCCCTCACACAGCCAATGTGGAGAGGACCGGCTACATTGGTGCCGTGACCCGGATCCTTTGGAAGGATCAACGCCAGCTTAACCATCGGGGGGGGTGCAGCATTCTTCATTCATCACCATAGAGACTGGTTTGAAACGTATCTTTAAATATCTTCCTATACTGTCATTTTAAAGAAGAGTTTCAACCCTTCTTCAAAGAAAAATAAAGGAGGGGAAGTTTTTTTTTCATTGAACTGTAGTTGTAGCACACTAGGTGTAACTATGTCATGTACCTTCATGTTGGAAGATGAGAGTGATGTGTATGATAATGTTGAACTTGGTCTCAGAAGGGAGAGAGCTCAAGGGGAAATGGCTTGAACACCAGAGGTTAGAGGGGTATATGATTCTCCTGTATGTTGTTCAACTCGTATACCTGCTAGCCATCCACCTCCTAACTCAGACATGACTTCTCCTGATTTGGGTAATCTCATCACTCAGTTAGCTCAACAAATAGGCCAATCTATAACAGCTCAGTTACAGAAAGAGACAAAAGAGTCAGGGGCAACATATACGCCAAGCACACGCCTAGAACAGCCTTCACCTGACTCGCATTCTCTAAACTTAGCAGGGTTGAAATTGGTCATGCAGACTGATGTAAAGGAACCACCTAGTTTTCATGGAGATGGGTCTGACAAATTATCAGTCCATGAATGGGAGGAGCAAATGAACACGTATCTGAGGAAAAGAGGTATACCACTAGAAGAACACGCACAGGAGATCTTGTCAAAACTGTCAGGGAAAGCTAGAGACGTAATTAAGATCACTCTTCGCAGCAACTCATCCTTAAAACCCAGTGAGAACCCAAATATAATCATTGACATATTGAAGCAACATTTCAGTAAGTTAACTTATTCAACAATGCCCCTTGCCGACTTTTATAATACATTGCCTGTAGCTGGAGAGAGCACCATGGACTGTTGGATCCGGTTGTGCAAAGCTGTTGATGTCGCTGAAGAGTGTTTAGGAGGCAGGGTCGGAAGCTTGAGGACTCTGGTAAAGAGGTGATCATGATGTTCATAAAACATTGCCATGATCCTGCCCTGTCAGCTATTTTGAAATTTAAAACAGCTGACAAATGGACTGCCAGTGAAATTCAAGAGAGGCTTGATGTGAACCAGGCTGAGTACAGAGCCCAGAGGCTCCAGGCCAGGCAAAGACACAGTGCTACAGGGAGATGTGTAACAGTACACTCACAGACATCAGTATCAGGCAAACCTGAAGTATCGCATAACATGACGAGTACCCCAAATCAGAGTGAGGCAACTGCTGGAGTGACTGTGCCAACTGAAAGTGACAGTGTGCAAACTCTCATTGGACTCCTTGACCATGTTCTAAAGCAGAATAACCAAATGACAACTAATACATTTTACTCCACTCATCAACGTCAGCCAACCCGAAAGCCATGTAGAGTCTGTAGGGCGACAGAACATTCTACCACCATGCATTGCAGACGTGATGGATTGTGT